TACAACACTTCTCGGTATGTAATCGTTGCTGAATGCTGCCTCAACCTCATCAGTTTCTGTCAAAAATTCTTGTTTATCCGAATCGGCCATATTCGATTCCACAGCGATTAATGTTTTAAACTTTTGATGAATGGTCCGAATGTCATGTATGCCACCTTGGATTTTTGCCAAACGTGATTTATTCAACGGTTTTTCCATAAGTGAATTGTAGTAAAATGCACATTTTTGAGACGGGATGGCCTTCTGCTGAAGATCCAAACTTATTTCTTCACGTAAATGGTCTATCTGATGTTGATTACTAAGAATTTGTCTAAATGCTATGACTGTTTCAATTACATCGTTTCTTGATCCGGAAAATCGAGTACAGTTGGAACCACACTTTGTAAATAGCTTATATTGTGCGGAATTAATGTATTTGAAAACAAGGTTTCGGGTATATGTTCATAGAAAGTGAACAAAGATGTCAATTCATTTCTCCAATCAATGGGCGTCTTGTGATCGGCCACTTTTGCTTTTGCATCAAATAACTCCGCCACTGTTGCAAATGTCGGATTTTGACCATAGACCTGGATGAAAAAGATCAAATCAATATAAAATTATATACATGATACTGTAACATGTAACATGACAAATGAAACAATGACATCATTGAAGAATAATCCTTTGAATGTGTTGAAAGTTTACCTTGTTATAGACTTAAAACGACAGAAACGTTAAAATTAAAAATGTCCTCATTGTTTCAGCTTGAAGTGAATTATGGATTCATAGATTGGTTTGTCACATCAGCCTTTATATATACAATTTTATTTTCTGAGCTGTGTTGATATGAAATAAAAATATTTGGTTTTATTTTGCAATTGACGAATTGCGTTATGTCACCTATTGGAATTTTAGCCAACTTATGGATTGTGTATGTGAGATGAAAAAGCTGCTACTACCGAAAATGTGTCGCAGTTGTTTAATACTGAGCTAATTATAATCAGCTAATTATCATAAGCACACAAACAATTTTTTCGACGTTTGGACGTCAATTGAGAATGTTTGGGTGCAAATGTAAAATAAAAACAAAACAAAATAAATTATGTTTTTGATAAAATAAATAAAAGAATTTCATTTGCGAATAACAACAAACGAGAATTGTTTACGTGTGTCAAGAATCTTATTAGAACTTCTGTATTTGTAGAAAAATCATATCATCATCAAATTAAATAATCAATGAATATAGGATACTTCATACTTCCGTACAAAAACTGCTAGCTCGGTCAGATTTATCCCGGTTAGCTTGGATTTTTGTAGTAAAACCCGGAATAAATATCGAATTTTCTCTTTATTTTGACAAAATCATCGTTTCCAAAACTATCTAAACATCATTTATTGAAATCTAGATTGAAATACCTTAAGAACCATGTTAGTTTTGTGGAAAGGGAAACATACTTCCGGATTGAACATTTTGGCCAGATTTGAAGCCGGATCGACATGTCGATGATATGCATAATAAAAACAAATTTGGTATGCAAATACATGAAAAAGAGAAACAATATGTATTTAGTGTTTTCGCAACTGATGTACAGTCTGCTTGGGTTCTAAATTAGATGATACTGAGGGAATGATATTAAGACTTACAGTATCATCTAAAAGATCTTAATTTGAAAACATGTTTGTTTATGAGTGTTTTAAAAAAAATATGCAACTTTTTTTCGAATACACCATTTTTTTAATTCATTTCAAATGCCAAAGTATAAGATCATAGACATTTTGATCAGCCGGCCAAAATATAGATTTATCTTTTTTTGGTAAGCATTTTTTTAAGTTTGTTAGGACTCTTTTTAACGGCCTTCAATCCCTTTTCCCATGCTCCAATTTGTTTGAAAAGTTCCAGAGAAGCGTCAAGACTTTTTCTGTATCCAACAACAAAATCTGCCCAAATATCACGTTCTGTATAGTATCGTAATACGATGGTCCTAATAACTTTTAGACGATCCCATACTTCATCTTGGGATGCTTTGAAATTGGATAAAGCAGAAGATATATCTGCTACAGATGACGCAGTTTGGGCGACACAGAGAAGTGTTTGAATGTCTTCTAAGAATGTTGCTTTTTCAGTTTTCAGTGCACTTAATTCACCACCTAATAATGTTTGAAATTTTTTTTGATTTGTTTTCATGGTGTACAAATCTTTAAAAACTCTTTTAAGGCGTGATCCTGAGAGTTTCTCCTTTGCCAATGGAGAATTAAAGAACCTATTATAATAGGCTCCCTCCGCACTTGCCTTACTCTGAAGTTCTTCGCTTAATTCATTATATAAGTCATTCACCTTATGTTGATTGCTCAAAATTACGCCAAACTGGCCATTTGTTTCAATCACATCCATTTCATAAGGGAATCTATTCAAGCCATTCTCTACAGGTTTAATAATATCAAATAGTACTGTTTTACTTAAAGTTTCAAATGCGTCAGTTTGTGAGATGTTTTGGTAAATAGTGAAAACAGTTCTCAGTTCATCGCCCCAAAAAATTCGATTTTTTTTATCTGCCAAGGTTGCTTTTGCCATAAAACTATCCGCCAACTGTGCATATGTTTTTTGTTGGCCGTTAACCTGATTAAAAAAGAAGTGGAAAATGTATATTCATCTTTACACAAAATGTAATGAATATTTTTACCTTGCCAAACACAAGAATCGACACAACCGTCAACAATAAGAACTGTTTCATTGCTTATTACTTAAGGCACAGAATTGAATTGAATATAATACACATTATGTATGCACAGCATTTATATACAAAACTTGATCGAACAAAATCGATTCGATCGAATATTTTATTATGAACAATATAAACACATTGACGTCAATGGAATATTTACTCAAGTGCTAAAGAAGGGTAATTGATTATTATTAGTTGATACATTCTTGGTACAAAAAAGATGAAAAATTATTACAACTGAAAGAATTTATTATTATTTAATTATTTCATTATACACATTTTTTGGTTATAAGTTAAAAATTCGTGAACATTCACCAGAAAACAAAACTCATAATGAAAAATTTTCTTTATTTTCATTCAAATTGAATAATAAAATATTGTTTCCGATTCGAATTTGAATATGTTTCGATTTTTTCTTTGCAATCAAATTCATGACATTTTTTTTATTGTCATTTGAAAATTGTTCACCTAATTATAGTTTTTTGAATGCGATAGTCGATGCCCTATTTTCTCACCCACTTTTGAATTTGATTTGATTATTTTTGCATGCGTGTATTGAATGTTAAATAGTCTTATTGAATGAAAAAGAAAACATTGAATGCATTCAAAAAGAGAACGGCACGTTTCAATTTTCCGATTTGCCTATTGACCCACTTATTTTACTGAATTTTTCGGGGTTAAACTCGATTTTGACGAACAAATGAAAAGAAAGACAGACGAAAAGAATGGTGACAATTGTTCTCACCTCTTTTAAGTTGATTCACGTCTGTGTTTGAAGACTTAACGACAACGTTGTCTCATTTGTTACGAACATGATTTACAGTAAATTTATCGTTTTACGTATTTCTTATTATTGTTTACTGATTTGCACACGATAAAACATGTAATGAAATTATAAATGAGGGTTGCAATCAACAGCTACCAAAGAATGATTTGCTGATTGCTTTGTATCTTTTAATCCGTATTCATGTTCATCATCTATTGTTATCTCTCTCTTCACATTTTGTAATGTTTTTTTTTTCATTTTGTTTTTCATATGACAAAGCGTAATTTTGCTTTAAAAAAAAAGAAAGCCGTCGGATGCAGACAAAATAACCCTAGTCACTTTTAACTTTATCAAGCTGCTACTAATCAATGTTGTTCGTATCTAATACCAATGTGCAATATTATGCAACTTAAATTTTTTGGTTCATTTTTCAAATTTAGATTAGAAACTGTGTTCATTTTCGTATGAATACAATATCTGCTTGGTAACATAAGCGAAGAAGATCTTGATTCCGATATGTTTTTGAATCGTTTGTGTTCACATCGAAGATTTGGTGTACTATTTATGTAGCAAAAAGGACTGTTGCGTATGAATAAAAATCTGAGTTCGATGAATGAAGGGTGTGAAGAAAATTGAAAATGGGGCATTTTGTCGATTGTTATCGAGTCGAGTAACCAAAGGCGACCATTTCAAAGTTCGCATGAATGTTCTGCAAACAGACGATTCGGTCTTTGCCCATTCGATCATACATTTATATTGAATTTTTGTCGCAAAATCATACTGACCTCTTCAGTTGCATTTTCCATTCCAAATGGACGCTTTTCGCAAATCGACCACATTGTGAGAAAAATCTGTCTCCTTTTGTGGATTTTGTCAAAGCAACGTCAAGATATTTTCTATGCACGTATGTAATACCTTTTATATTTGGCGATATGCTTGTTTGATATGACATGTGTGTATGTGTTTGTGTAAAAGGTGAAAAATCTTTGTGTATGTCTCCCATTCAAAAGCGAACATTTTCCTTTGTCGTTTGTGTATGGTTCTCGAAATGTTTTTGTGTTGTGTTGTGTTGGATGTGGCAATTTTCGACTTTGTACAAGATATTCTTCCATTGCTCACAATGTGTGTACGAATTTCTTTTTGTGTCCGTGACGCTTTCGTCATTATTCTATTTTGTGAAACATTATTTTCTTTGCTTTTGATTTTGTACATTATGAATCTATTCAATTTTCTCTTTTTCTTCGTCGAAATAAAAGAGAGCGAGCAAGAAAATGATGAAGAAGAGAAAATAACGCGACCCATACACATTCCGCACCTGATTCACAATCACTGAATTGCACGACAAAATTATCGTATATCCAAATGTGTCAACTTGAAATCCAAAGTGTACGTATAATACTGTTCAAATGTATGAAAAACCCATCACATAAAATAGCACACACACACAAAAGACATAAAGAGAAAAAGAACTGTTTCATTCCATAATGGAAATTCACAACAAAGTCACAACACACAACAATAAACCCTATGTTAACCTGATTGCGACGCTGAATGCGCTCATCCAAAACTACACAGGGAAAACAGAAGAATAAGAAGAAGAAAAAACTTCAGTCGAATATATAATAGTACATCCATTGAAATGTCACCTTTTTATTCAAATATATTTTGATTTGTTTCATCTACGTGATGATAATCATTAAGTACAAAGGCAATAATTGGTAAGAATTTCTTTTCGTAAGCGTTCATTTTTCTTTGTTGTTTGTGTATGCATTTATGTTTGATGTTCGATATATATTTCTTAAAAATGAAATGCCATAAACTATAAAATAATGTAAATTATTGCAAATACATGCCATCGAACGTAAATTAATTGAATAATTATTTTGGAATGTTGATAATGCCCAAGGAATTAATTGCCAAGAAAAATCACACCGTAATCCTTGAAAATATGTGCAACAATCAACTTCATCAAAACTATCTATATGCTTCAACAAATAAACACAGCAAAATCCGATCTTCCACCAAGGTTGCCATTCAATATTGCTATATTTGTTCCAGAAAGTCAAACGGTGATGCTGTGCAACGCAAATAAAATCCCTGTACGGCTTATTTATAATCGGATTCACGATGCTAACTAATTAAATGTTTAATGAATGTGATCGCTTTCGGAGAGGGAGAGAGAGAGGAAGAGAGATTGAACGAAAACTCAATCTATTCGAAGTGGGAAACCTGTAAACTGTGCCATTGTATACAGAAGCGCGCGAACATCGATAAATTCTTTTCGCGATACGGTCTCTTTCTCTATCGATGTTTAAAAGATATTGGCAATATTTTTTGATGACACTTTGACGCACAACATGCTTCCACAATTGCGTATTGTATATGTATTTGCAGTGTATCAGAGTACGGATTGTCTACACACAAAAGGAATTATATTATAGCAAAAGCGAATGCGAGCCGCACATTCGCGATAGGCGGCTTTATTCTTTTATATTCCGTGTAAATTGAAAACTTAAGCTGACTATTGTATGCTGACTATCAATTGAATATATTACGCGGTTGCCTTTCACAGTGAAAATTAAATGTTCGATGACACGATATGTTCACTATTCAATCAGCGTTGCTACAGTGAGAGTTAGAATTGCATAGAAAGAAAATGAGGCGCAATTCATTAGAGAAGGTAATGTCAGACCCATCATTTTAGTTCCAGAGGCGCGAAAAGGTTAAAACAACAGAAAAACGGCATACAATAAAGGGTAACAAAGTTTCTCTCGGGTTTTTTTTTGGGAGGGAAAAATGGGCAAAGTTTTGATTGTGAATTTTCACACCTCTCTCACCATCGATGAAACTGCGGGAACTATTGTAAAAGTACCATCTAATTGAATTTCATCGATTCCATGGCTGGTGTATTATTACAAATAATGAACCGTGCTGAGCGGTTTTATTTTGTGCTGGTGTTCGAACGAGAGAGAGAGAGAGAGAAAGAATAGATGAGTTCGCACAAAATCGCCTTGACGCACACAAAACGCGCTAATCGGTAGTAAATCGGATGAGGAAGCAAAGAAGCGCGCGAATGTGTCACCCGTTGGTGAAATGTTGTAGTCGTAGTGTGCACATAAGCCATACCTCCGTCATTGTGATGTGATAAATAGATATACTTAGCGGTTTATTCTGTAATGTCATTGCACATCGGAAATATGGCTTTGTCATTATGATCATCATTCAAAAAGCCTATTGTGGCTTCAGACCGACAAAGCAGCACTGTTAAAGTAAATGGAACATTCAATGGAAAATTCAATTTTGGTTTTGTTTTCGAACTTTTTGTTAAAAGTACATTGTACTTATGTGAAATGACGATGTGAACGCTCAAGGGAGAATAAATCAAGATGAATTCTTAAATCTGAACGTAAATATTGTTGAAATCGAAAGAATTTGGCTTTCGTAAGCGTTTTCGATGACACTCTCAACTGCAATTGCGTTTCAATTGGACGTTTTTTTTTCGTCATCGATACCATTAAAATTGAGATTGGAATGTGATTCGGTTTATTTGAATTTGGTCATAGCCAATAATTAAGCGATATACTTGTTCGGTATACCGCCGCTTAATTGCGGTATTCGTTCGTTACAATGTATGCTTGTGTGCAGAAAATGATTGAGTGCGTACTATAAAACGTTGCATATGCAAATAATTGATTGGTATGTTTTTGTATTTGTGTGTATGTAATGTATGTTTGGGCGCGTGTTCAGGTGTGCCACATAATTGTTGGGCGGTTTAAAATTTCTTTCTCTCTCTCTCTACCCTCTCTCTTTCGCTTCACTCGTTGTTTTTCGTTCATTCGTTCGTTCATCCCGTTCGCTTTTCATGATTGCCAACGACAAATTGACAAATAATTGTTTTGTATGCATCTTATTAACACCCGATCGATTTATCAATTTGGACCCGAACGACACACATTAGGAATCAATCAAACAAACCATTAACACACACTTGCATTATTTGCATTCTTGTACATTCTCTCATTTTGACGACGGCTGCAATTTACCCGAACTGCATTCGCAAAATTCGAAACGAGTTTATGTCATTTAAAACAGAGGCAAATAGATTGCATACGTGCACAGTTTATTGTCCAAACATGTCAATCAAGTGCCGTGTATGTCCTACGACAACGACAACGACGACGATGATGTTGACGACAGTGACAACGAAACATAAAGCATGGACTGGTTTTAAAGAGATAAAATTATCGCTGAATTGATAAGCGCCATATCGGATCGGATGTGGTTCATATTA